AAGTAATACAAGTCCTACAGAAGGAATAGAAAAACTGACTTCAGAAGTGTATCAAGTCTGTCTGAAACATGTTCCTTTGAGGAAAGCCAGAAAGAGATCTAACGTAGAAAGAGAACGCAGACGACACTATAAATGCAGGAAAAAAAATAACGGAACTGCTTATGCAGACACGAATTTCCCGTCAAAGAAGGAATAATTTGAATAGGGAGATTGAAGAAATCGAGTGGAAATTGAAACACTCATATGAAACTGAAGAAAGGCAGTTAGAACAGAAAGCAATTCAGGAAATAAAGAAAAATCCAAAATATTTCTTCTCATATGCGAAATCAAAAGCAAAAACCACTGCCAGTATTGGACCTATTCGTACAAGTGAAGGTTCATACACGGAGGATGACAAAGAAATTAGTGAAATCCTAAAAAAGCAGTATGAGGACATGTTTAGCACTCCAATAACAACATGAAGGTGGAAGATCCAGACAATTTCTTTATGTGGGATATTCAAACCCCTGTAAATATAACTGATATAAACACGAGTGCACTAAATTTTGAAAGAGAAATTGAAAACATGCCCATGCACTCAGCCCCAGGTCCAGACTCGTGGAATTCAATATTTATAAAGAAATGCAAAATGCCGGTAGCACAGACACTCAGTATAGTGTGGAGGAAGAGCTTGGACACGGGGGAGATACCAGATGCACTTAAAGTAGCAGACATAGCCCCTCTACACAAGGGAGGGAGCAAAGCATTGGCAAAGAATGATAGACCAGTTGCACTAACATCGCACATCATAAAAGTATTTGAGAGAGTGATTAGGAGTCAGGTCACCAATTTCATGGAGACCAATGACCTTCACAACCCAGGCCAACATGGATTTCGAGCGGGAAGATCGTGCCTCTCACAGCTACTTGAGCACTACGACAAAGTCACCGAGGCATTAGAAGAAAAACAGAATGCTGATGTGATATACACGGACTTCGCAAAGGCTTTCGATAAATGTGACCATGGCGTGACAGCACACAAAATGAAGTCAATGGGAATAACCGGTAAAGTAGGACGCTGGATACTCAGTTTTCTGTCAAACAGGACTCAGCGAGTAACGGTCAACCATATAAAATCTAGTCCAAGTGCAGTTAAAAGCTCTGTACCTCAGGGTACAGTTCTTGCACCGCTGCTTTTCCTTATTTTCATATCAGATATAGACAAAAATACAAGTCACAGCTTCGTATCATCCTTTGCAGACGACACAAAAATCAGTATGAAAATTACCTCGGCTGAAGACATTGAAAAACTTCAAGCTGATATTAATAAAGTTTTCGACTGGGCATCAGAAAATAACATGATGTTTAACAGTGATAAATTCCAGGTACGGTAAAAATGAGGACCTTAAACATAATACAGAGTACAAAACACAATCAAATGTACCCATAGTAGGTAAACAGCATGTAAAGGATTTGGGAATAATAATGTCTGACGACCTAACGTTTAAGGAGCATAACCAAGCAAATATTGCGACAGCCAGAAAAATGATAGGATGGATTACGAGGACTTTCAAATCCAGGGATCCCATCACAATGGTTGTACTCTTCAAGTCACTTGTGTTGTCCCGTCTTGAGTACTGCTCAGTACTCACTTCCCCCTTCAGAGCAGGAGAGATTGCCGAAATAGAGGGAATACAGAGAACATATACGGCACGCATAGACGCAATAAAGCACCTAAATTATTGAGATCGTCTCAAAGCCCTCCAAATGTACTCACTAGAAAGAAGACGAGAGAGATATCAAATAATATACACCTGGAAGATACTGGAGGGCCAGGTACCAAATCTACACAGTAAAATAACAACGTACTGGAGTGAACGATATGGAAGAAAATGTAGAATAGAACCAGTGAAGAGCAGAGGTGCCATAGGCACAATCAGAGAACACTGTATAAACATCAGAGGTCCGCGGTTGTTCAACGTCCTCCCAGCAAGCATAAGAAATATTGCCGGAACAACCGTGGACATTTTCAAGAGGAAACTAGATTTATTCCTCGAAGGAGTGCCGGACCAACCGGGCTGTGGTGGGTATGTGGGCCTGCGGGCCGCTCCAAGCAACAGCCTAGTGGACCAAACTCTCACAAGTCAAGCCTGGCCTCGGGCCGGGCTTGGGGAGTAGAAGAACTCCCAGAACCCCATCAACCAGCTATCAACCAGGTATCAACCAGGGAAGGAAACCCCTAAGTGCATGCAGCCCTGGCACTGATGAGGTACTCCTGGCCACTGCACACTACACAAAGACAGCAGAGAATGCCACACGAGGCAAACACCGCCCAGGAATTTGAGGACAGAGAAGCGTCTATCCCGGCTGACACTAGCTTACGAACTGAAGGCAGCCGGCGCGGTGAGGTCCGAGGCCCCCCCGGTCGATGGCAGATAAGGAAAAACCCCAACCATAATGGGGTTTTTCAGGGCCATTGCTCCCTGAAACCTCTCTGAAGGGGCCAGTTCTGGCGCTGGTCCCTGGTAGGTCTGAACTCCATAGCTAATGTACCGTTCTAACGTAACATACATTTGACCGATAAGCTCCAGAGAGCCGTAGGGGCTCCCCACAGAAAACATACATTCCTCAGAAAAATCTGTTTGGGTGAAAGTACAAATTATGGAGGGGCCGGCTAGCTTTCAAGGTTTATAATCCAAATAAACCCGATAAGTATGGAGTGAAGCTGTACATGCTAGCTGAATCAAAAAAGTGGTTACATCTATGATTTTGAGGTGTATGCAGGAACTGGGAAGACAACGACAATTCTGTAGAAAGATAGGCGAGCTATTTCACTCATCACAACTTGCCACAATGCAGATACACAACAAGTGCAACAAAGGAAACGTGTACGCAAACCAGACGGAGCATCTTCATTGCAACAGGTCACTTTGAACAAACCAAATGCAATCTGTGACTACAATAACATGAAAGATGTTGATCACTTTGACCAAATGGACAAATATTATCATTTCACATAGAAATGTCACAAGTGGACGAAGAAAATCACGTTCTACTTTATGCAAATGTCTATCTATAATGCTTTTGTATCATACAAGTACTACACAACCGATACAAAGAAACTCACATTGCTACAGTTCCATGAAGTCATCATTAGTCACTGCTGAATTTTGACTAAGAAGTGTCCTTTCCAAAATGAGAACATCAGACATGCTGGTGATGGACATGACGATGGGAGCACATCTACTGGTGACAATGTTGCAACACCCGGACCATCAGGTGTGAGGCGGCCACTATTCCCATCTTCACCTCCACATGACGAATCATCGTCTGACTCAGAAGACGAGAGTCAGATTATTCCTTCTGCTGCTACTGCTAGGAGAAACCCTCGTATTGTTGATAAACAAGAACATTTGAACAGGAACTTGAACCATTCCCTATTTCACATCCAGAAAGGGCTGGATGCGAACCATTTTTGCTACAAAAATTGTAAAAGGAAGGACACCAAATATAAGTGCAAGTCGTGTGATGGGGCACTGTGTGCTGCACCATGCTCTGGCTTGTACCATCGCAAGAGGACATGCTGGATGGATAAGCAGTAATGCTTACCCACCATCCACTCCACCTATAAAACATCGGTTGAGCAGCTTCAGGAAACAGTTTCCTCGAGACGGTGGAGTAGTTCAGCCTAATGCTCAACTCAAGGTCTACAAACATCATTGGGTAGTAAGTACAGCCTTTTTTTCCCTGTAAAGCATTCTATTGCAAACAAATTGATACCAGAATGAATGACATAACACGAAAATTGACATTATCAAACTAAAAAGATTACACACATTTGTGTGCAGGTGTAGCGGGTGAGCAAAAGCGTGTTCGCCCACCGCTAACTCTTAGCCAACTTTCTCCTTTGCTGAAGGAGAGGGGGGGGGGGGTGCACTGTGATTTTGGACTGTATATGCATATACTCTTGAAGGGAATTCAATTGCAGACAAATAGATACCAATATGAACGACGTAACACGAGAATTGAGGCGAGAATCCCGAAAAAAGTACACACATTTTGGTGGGGGTTGCACACTCACGGGTAACCCTTGGCCGATTTGAGTTTTTTGTGAGGGTGGCATGCTGGGCTTTTTGACTTCGTATGTATATATCCCTGTAGGGAATTCTATTGTGAACAAAAAGATACCAAAATGAAAATTGAGGTGAGAAAACTGAGAAAAGAGTATACACATTTGAGTCTGGCCGCGAGCTCCCAGGAAACACTCGGCGCATCTAGAGGTAGGCTAGGGAACGTGTGCCGGGGACAGGAAAGTTAATATGGCTCCGATCACATTTTAAATGATTTCCGTAGCTGGACACGTTACAAGAAAGCATTGGGGCTTTGGGAATGGCCCCTTTCCCAAAGCCCCAACTTCATATTCATTTTGAGATTTCCCGGTGTTCGTTCGATGACCCCAGGAGGCCCATATTTGGGCCTCCTGGAGGCATCTCCAATTGCAACGAATTCCTCACTGCAACAAATTTGGGTTGGTCCCACACAATTCGTTGAATTGAGGATGCACTAGTGCAACAGGCTTCCTGTCCCCGACAAGGGGAAACCATCCCCCAATTATAGCCAGGCATCTCAAGCATTCACAAATCTTCCCGCTGCACTGGGGCATGACTGTCTTGGGGAAACATGTGGTGACTACCTACACGGGGTCCATTTTAATTACCATTTTAATTTACTGTATTGTATTGTATTTGAAAGAGTAATTTAAAGGAGCCTCATTCATTGTGGGTTACCTTGTTGCATCACCCAAAATATTATTTATAATTTTATGCATTCAATTTTCCTACCTTGCATCATATTATTAATCACAAATTTTAAGTAATATATATCAGTTATGCATGTTCACCAGGAATGATGCCATAGGAAAAATTCAGTTTCACATTGTACGACAACACTCGCCTCGCCCCCTTACCGAGGATAACTACTATAATTTATAGCCAAATTCTGACAAAGGAGGCTGGCACGTACCTGCGGGGAGATATCCTCGGGAAGAAGTAATGAAAAAGCTGGGAGGATCTGCTCTGTGCACTGTTGCTGAGCTAGTTGGAAGCACCGAGTCTTCATCTGCATGGTCATCTCCTGACTCAGTTCCACTAGACGCTTTTGTACGGTATCTCTTGTACGCTCCACACACAAAGGGTTATTCTGCATCCGATCCTCAATAACTTCTTTTAACTGATAGAAACAGATAGAAAATAGGAGATGTAAAACAATCATTAAATATTTTTAGCAATCATTATTCACCAATGGCAGCCATCTTAAATGATCTAGATTTATTATATACATTCAAAAGAAGTTTCTGAGGGAGTCCTCTGGTGGCTTCCTGAAGCTGTCTCGCCAAGACTGCTCCTAGCTACTAGGTCACATCAACCGTGGCAGTTTTGTTTGGCCCACCGGGTAGACCAGAGTCAGAACTTGGTCCCTCTCATAAAGGTGCAGAGAGTAAATGACATTCCACCACCCCACTGGGAAAGCATCTAGAAAGTCAATGAAGCTGTGGGTGAAAAGTTCTCAGCTAGACTTGTACCTCATGCTGCTGTGCTGTGCTGTGCTGTGCTGTGCTGTGCAAGGCATTAAGCATTGGTTTTTCACCATTATCCTAGGACACGAGTACCTCCTGTCAGGTGTCTATGGTTCAGAGATCACAACAGCAGTTCAGAAATTGTATGCATAATGACATATGACATCTGGTTATACTAGCACATGGCAATTTATACAGCTCACCTGTATAATCATGGGGAAGTCTCCCCCCCTCCCCCGCCCGCCCGCAAGTTTAGCTGTTGAGTGTGGCAGGTAATCAGGTAGGTACTGCTAACATGACCCTCACTAATATTTTGGTAACCCTTTCCCAGTCACATCAGTGAAGGCCAGAGTTCACCCCAATTAAATGCATGCATATGGTTGAAACTGCATTCTAAATGGTGCTCTGTGAGAAAGGTTTAACTTGAGGGATACGAGGAGTGTGCTCAGTCGTCTCGCTTTGAGCTCCATCTTGTCATTCTCGGAAAGGCGACCCTAGGAATCCGATGTGAACTCCTCCAGAGCTCGACAGTTCCATCACTCCATACTCTAAGCGTAACTCCTGTGATCTGTTCAACTCCCATGTGTCAGTTGAGAAGATACAGTGTGGGGGGCTCCATTCACCAAGATACCAATAAGAAATGTGCGTGTATAAGTGTGTGTGTATGAGCCGGCTGATGAGTAAGCCCACTAATTATTTGCGTACACTATTGCTTACATTTTTGTGGCGCTACATGTGACCCAGGTGAGCTGAAGTGGTGTTTCTTGTTGAGATCTGGTGCAGCCATTTCTAGCAGGACCCCTGCGAGGTGTATGCCTGCCTTTACAACACATGCCAGTTTTATTGTGCATGCAAATAATTTCCCAAACAACTTGTCGCTTGCATACAGCACTGGTTTGTGTTTGAAAACCAGTGATTGCATTACATCACCTGGGTACTGTATCATTAGCAAGAGAGAATACTGTGTCTAGATTTGCCGATGACCTCTTAAAATAGACAATTATCCTTATTTCCATTTCTACATATATTTTTGTTTTGTATTCTATTTTAGTGAATTAATTCATATGTTAAGCACATTGTGTTTGAAAAATTCCTTTCTCCCTCATATTGCAGACCTTTGCTGGATCGGTCCCACAAACGTATCCTCTGCGTTGTAACTAGCCCCTATCAAAATTAATTATTTTAATAAACCAACTACACTGATTTTCCTGCACCACCAAGTAGAGATCAGACATAACATGTATCTGGCAAGATCTCCTCAAGATCTTGTCATTGCTCTAGGTATTCTATTTGTTGATAACCCCTGTCACAGCATGCATGCCTGACCTAGCCTAGCTGCACATAGCTGCACAGAAAAGCCTCCTCAAAGCAGCTAAAGAGCTCTTCCGACAACTTAAAACAAAAATCAGAACATTCAAATCCAGCTCGAACCTGTTTGTCCCAATAACCACCACCTGGAAGCCCAAAGCCCCCTACCCCTCTGCCAACACTCTCAGGCCATTTCTGCTGCTGATACAGTGTTATCAACATCACTGTAGTGCTCCTCGGTCGTTAATAGCAGGTCCTTGTGTTCCTATTCTAAGTGCTGGCTGCCTTTGCACTTTGTCCCGAGGGGCCATTTGCTTGTCTATTTAAGTTTCATGTTTGCTTCATGAGCACGTTTTCTATTCGGCTTGTTATGATAACTAGGCTCACTTTGTGCTTCAGGCTGTATGGGCCGAGGATCTCTTCCCTCAAGAGCTCAATAGCACTCTCCCTGTACCAATAGATTTGCTTTCTCTGGTGTGTAATTACCTAAGTGTATTTACAGGATGAGAGCTACGCTCGTGGTGTCCCGTCTTCCCAGCACTATGTCACATAACGCTTTGAAATTACTGACGGTTTTGGCCTCCACCACCTTCTCACTTAACTTGTTCCAACCGTCTACCACTCTGTTTACAAAAGTGAATTTTCGTATATTTCTCCGGCAGCTTTGTTTCGTTAGTTTAAATCTATGACCTCTTGTTGACCAGACCACACCAATTAAATGCATGCATATGGTTGAAACTGCATTCTAAATGGTGCTCTGTGAGAAAGGTTTAACTTGAGGGATACGAGGAGTGTGCTCAGTCGTCTCGCTTTGAGCTCCATCTTGTCATTCTCGGAAAGGCGACCCTAGGAATCTGATGTGAACTCCTCCAGAGCTCGACAGTTCCATCACTCCATACTCTAGAGGGATACGTGAGCCACGTTATTGTGACTCATCGCCTGCCTATGACCTCTTGTTCTTGAAGTTCCGGATCACAGGAATTCTTCTCTATCAATCTTATCAATTCCTGCTACTATTTTGTACGTAGTGATCATATCGCCTCTATTTCTTCTGTCTTCTAGTTTTGGCATATTTAATGCCTCTAACCTTTCCTTGTAGCTCTTGTCCTTCAGTTTTGGGAGCCACTTAGAAGCATGTCGTTGCACCTTTTCCAGTTTCTTGATGTGCTTCTTAAGATATGGGCACCACACAACCGCTGCATATTCCAGCTTTGGTCTAATAAAAGTCGTGAGCAATTTCTTTAGTATTTCGCCATCCATGTATTTAAAAGCAATTCTGAGGTTAGAAAATGTAGCATAGGCTCCTTGCACAATGCTCTTAATGTGGTCCTCAGGTGACCGTTTTCTATCTAGAACCACCCCTAGATCCCATTCTTTGTCAGAATTCTTTAAAGATTTCTCACATAATTTATAGGTTGTGTGGGGTCTATGTTCTCCAATTCCACATTCCATAACATGGCATTTATTAACATTAAATTCCATTTGCCAAGTATTGCTCCATATACTTATTTTGTCCAGGTCATCTTGCAGGAAATGACAATCATCTAAGTTTCTTATCTTCCCTATTATCTTTGCATCATCAGCAAACATGTTCATGTAATTCTGTATTCCCACTGGTAGATCGTTTATGTAGACAATGAACATTACCGGTGCAAGAACTGAACCCTGTGGTAGTCCACTTGTGACATTCCTCCAATCCGATACCTTGCCTCTAATTACGGCCCTCATTTTTCTGTCAGTTAGGAAATTTTTCATCCATGTTAGTAGCTTACCTGTTACTCCTCCAATATGTTCCAGTTTCCAGAACAACCTCTTATGGGGAACTCTGTCGAAAGCCTTTTTTAGGTCCAGATAGATGCAGTCAACCCAACCATCTCTTTCCTGTAAAATCTCTGTGGCTCGATCATGAAAACTAAGTTCGTTACACAGGATCTTCCAGATCGAAAACCATACTGTCTGTCTGATATTATATCGTTTTCCTCCAGAAGTTCTACCCATTTAGTTTTAATTATTTTTTTCCAATATTTTGACTATTACACTTGTCAATGATACAGGTCTGTAATTAAGGGAGTCTTCCCTGCTTCCACTTTTGTAGATTGGAACTATGTTAGCCTTTTTCCACACATCAGCTACAACTCCTGTAAACAGGGATGCCTGAAAAATCAGTTGAAGTGGAATCCTGAGCTCAGGTGCACATTCTCTCGGAACCCATGGTGAAACTCCATCTGGACCAACTGCTTTGTTCTTACTTAGCTCCTTGAGCATTTTTTCACTTCGTCTCTAGACACCTCTATGTGCTCTATGTTGTTCTCTGGAATTCTTATTGTGTCTGGTTCCCTAAAGATTTCATTTTGTACAAACACACTTTGGAACTTTTCGTTTAGTGTTTCACACATTTCCTTTTCATTTTCCGTTAATCTATTTCCCATTTTCAACCCCTGAATATTATCCGTTACTTGCAATTTGTTGTTTATGAATCTATAGAATAGACCTGGTACTGTTTTACATTTGTCTGCAATCCCTTTTTCAAAATTTCTTTCTGCCTCTCTCCTCACTGCCGTGTAGTTGTTTCTCGCATCTTTGTATCGTTGGTATGTTTGGGGGTTTGGCCTCTTCCTGAATTGATTCCATTTTTGTGTCTTTCGGTCTCTGGCCCTCTCGCAATTTCTGTTGAACCAATCCTGTTTCCTAGTTCTGCATCTCTGTTTTGGTATAAATTTTTTTGTGCCTTTATCATATATTTCACAAAACTTGACATACATCTCATTCACTTCCTTCCCTAGCAACAAGACTGTCCAATTATACTCACTAAAAGAATTTCTAAGGTTGCCATAATGTCCTCTCCTGAAGTCAGGTTTTTCAACTGCTTCGATCTCCTTGTTTTCTTCCAGATTATAACGCATTGCATACTTTATTCCCAAAAAGACATGGCCACTTTTACCCAAGGGAAGAAGGTACTGAATGTCAAATATTTCTTCCTCCTTCCTAGTAAATATCAAATCTAGCATAGAGGGAACGTCTCCTTCCCTCATCCTCGTAGCTTGTTTAACATGTTGATACAAGAATGTTTCCAGGATGAGGTCTACAAATCTACAGGTCTAAAAATCTTTTGTTTTAGCTTCATATGCTTCCCAGTCTATAGATTTCAAGTTGAAGTCACGGACTATCAACAGTCGTGATCTATCGTTATCCGCTCTCGCTATAATCTCTCTCATTATTGTTATAAGACCTTCTCGTTTACTATCTAGCTCCTCCTTTGACCATGTGCTGCTTGGCGGTGGACTATATGCATTTATGATCATTAGTTTATCATCCTCATGGCAGATCTCTAGTGCTATTATGTCAACTTCTTGTGGATTGGCAGTCATTATTTCCTTCACCTTTAGGTGTTTTTTCACCAGCACAGCAACGCCACCGCCTTTCCTAATTTTTCTGTCCCATCTCCAAACTGAGTAGCCCCTTGGGAATATGACCTCATTTATAATAACATCTTCAAGTTTTGTCTCCAGACAGAGTGCAACACTGTCTGGTGTCTGCAGCTGTATTACATCACTTAACTCCAGTATCTTCGATCTCACTCCATCTATGTTGGTGTATGCAATCTTCAGGAACTTGTTCCCCCTATTCTTATTCTTCACTCCCTCTCTCTCTATTGATTTTGTTGGTTTGCCTTTATGTACCACTTTACTGGTCTGCCTACCCCTAACACTTTGTAGAAAAAAGAATTGATTTCTTCTTCATTCCTGCTTTCATTTAAACGTATTGCCTCGGCAAGGTTCAGTTTCAGCTTGTCTCCGTCTTCTTTTGAAAGATCTCGTCTTACTGACCACACTTTCCCATCCTCATCACTTTGTAATTTTCTAGCATTCCTTAGTACTTCTTCCATCTGTTTGGCACCGTTTAGGGTGATCCTTAAAGGTCGATCTTTCCCTTTTACGTATCTGCCTATTCTCCTGTAGTCGCACACATTCTCTATGGTAGTAAGACCTTCTACGAGGCCAACAATTTTATCTACTACTTTCGCTTCTTCTACAGCTCTTTCTGACCTAGATGTTATCTCCTTTTCTTTGCAACCAAAAATGATCAGGGACTTACTCCGATCAACTGAGTTTTGCACCAACTTCGGATTTGATGCCAATTCCTTTCTCACTTCCAGCCTAATGTTTGTTTTATCTTGGTTGCTGCAGTGTTTGGCTTCCTTTACTGCTTCTTCAATTTTTTCCAACTCCTTGGCCACTTGTGCATAGGTGAGTTGCATATCTTTCTTGCACTGTTCTATTCCCTGTGTAACTTTCTCCATTTGTGCTGACAAAAGCTGTTTCTCCTGTTGAATTTCCTTGCCTAACCTATTGTAGTCATTTATGTTTAAATTTACTTTAACTTCTTCCAAAGCTATTTTTAAGAGTTAACTTTCTTCTTCCATTACTTTGCAATTTGTTTCCAATTGATTTTTATCCTTGCATGTCTTTCACTAAACCCACAAGACATATAACTTTGCTATTCAAATAGTCATTACTTTCTTTCAATTTACTAATTATTTCTACATGAGTTCATTATAGTATCTAATTTTACCAACTTCTTGTGTAGACTGGTTATATCAATGCTTTCTTCACTGAATCTCACAAAAATTTGAGTGTTCAGGAATTCATCCTTTCAAGCCTAGGCTACTGGGAAGGAGTGCCTTACCTCAGGTGATTCAAAAGTTTTCAACTCCTCTGCTTATACCCATGGCTGGGGGGCATTCATTTCAGTTGGGCTTATGTGCTTGTTCATACGGCATGCCATAGCAGTATTTGTGGCTGCATTCCATGACTGTTCTTCCGGTGAGCATCTTCAGTGGCTGGTTGTCCTCTTTGGCTAATTTCCTTCAGGCTGTGGTAATTCCACTAAAAGTTTTTGAAGTGCTTCTGACGGATCTGTCCATCAATGCTGCTCTTGCTATTTGCGAGTTTGAGGGATGTTTGTCGGTTCGCTATTTTGAAACAATAATTATTTCTGCCTCCACCATGCTGCCTGCCGGGTTAGTGACACCTACAATCCCGAGTCCTGCTTCTGAAATAAAAGCTTATCATTCAGCTGCCATTTTTAAGCTAGGTCTGCCCTTGTTCAGCATTCCCAGATTTGTGCTCGACTGGATGCCTGGAGTTGACCCACATTGTATTCAGGGACCTGGAATTGGTATACGGCTCCACCCTCCTGGCGCCACCTGATGGACGGCTCCACCCTCCTGGCGCCCCTTGGCAGACAGTTGCACCCTCTCAGCGTCACCCGGCAGACAGTTGCACCCTCTCAGCGTCACCTGGCAGACAGTTCCACCCTCTCAGCGCCACCCGGCAGACAGTTCCACCCTCTCAGCACCACCCGGCAGACAGTTCCACCCTCTCGGCAACACCCGGCAGACAGTTCCACCCTCTCAGCACCGCCCAGCAGACAGTTCCACCCTCTCAGCGCCACCCGGCAGACAGTTCCACCCTCTCAGCACCACCTGGCAGACAGTTCCACCCTCTCAGCACCACCTGGCAGACAGTTCCACCCTCTCAGCACCACCCGGCTGACAGTTCCACCCTCTCAGCGCCACCCGGCAGACAATTCCACCCTCTCAGCACCACCCGGCAGACAGTTCCACCCTCTCAGCACCACCCGGCTGACAGTTCCACCCTCTCAGCGCCACCCGGCAGACAGTTCCACCCTCTCAGCACCACCTGGCAGACAGTTCCACCCTCTCAGCACCACCCGGCTGACAGTTCCACCCTCTCAGCGCCACCCAGCAGACAGTTCCACCCTCTCAGCACCACCCGGCAGACAGTTCCACCCTCTCAGCACCACCCGGCAGACAGTTCCACCCTCTCAGCACCACCCGGCAGACAGTTCCACCCTCTCAGCACCACCCGGCAGACAGTTCCACCCTCTCAGCACCACCCGGCAGACAGTTCCACCCTCTCAGCACCACCCAGCAGACAGTTCCACCCTCTCAGCACCACCCAGCAGACAGTTCCACCCTCTCAGCACCACCCAGCAGACAGTTCCACCCTCTCAGCACCACCCGGCAGACAGTTCCACCCTCTCAGCACCACCTGGCAGACAGTTCCACCCTCTCAGCACCACCTGGCAGACAGTTCCACCCTCTCAGTGCCACCCAGCAGATAGTTCCACCCTCTCAGCTCCACCTGCTGGGGATTATTGTTGCAGCTCAGGACAACAACACCCTAAGTACTCACAAGCACTTTTGGGGTTAATATCTCTATTAAAATAGATCATCTCCATGGCTAACTAAAATAATTAAGAGCCATAATTACCCCATAAGTTATACATTACTCAAAAGGAAAGGAAGGTGTAGGAAACGTCTTATGGGCAATGTGGCTCCGAGCTAACTTACAGCCACAACTTATCATGCCGTGTCGCTTTTCTTACTATCAAGGAGGTAACCTTCATGACACGCTCTACAGCATACATCTTTATCGACTAACCTTTTCTAAAGCAGATTCTCGTTGTTCCGGGATGATCTTGGTGCGAATATTCTTGATGACATTTGAAGATACGCGTTCGATGATGAAGTCGGTAGTTTTGCGAACTGATGAGTGTTGGTTGTGGAAGAAGTTGTCTTCTAATTGTAGCTGTTGATAAAATAATGTTGAGAGAGATTAGACAATTTACTATACTTGTACAACTGTACCAATAAAAACAACTTACAGTATCTATATTTCAAATACATTCTGTATTTAGAGTTTGTCTCTCATCCAAGAAACTATGAACTGAAAACCTCTTATGATAACATTTTTGGGACTGGAACTATTTCAGTTTTCTCACCATACACCAACCAAAATGGTCTTTTACAAAATTAAATGCAGTGTGCCAGACGATGGGACAATAGAATATTAGGAGTTTATTTCCTGCACAGATGACTAACACAGATGCTTAGGTTTGGTCTGTAAAACATTAACTTTTATGCATATTGCTGTTAATATGTCCTCCCAATATTGTTATACTAGTGATTAACCTTTGCCTAGCGATGGTGACAAATGAATAAATATGAAGGTGAGGTAAAAACAGCTCTTCCACACCAGATGACATCGTCTACATCAAGCATGTAACACTACCACAGCTCATCCTTTCTACATCTTCTGCTCATTTCAAATAATGTCCAGAGGTGGGATGACATAACTTGTAGTGTGTTCATTTATGACCATTAATATTATTGCAGAGAGTAAGTCTTAATAATGTGGTTGAAAATTAGACTCCCAACCTACACCTCTGACAATAAAGTAGAGTACTGTAAGTGATGATAATGGTCCTGGACAGAGCGAAACATCAAGTTGTGTGAGGGAATACTATTCCCAATGAACTTGTCACAACCAGCATACTTTAACCCTTAAACTGCGCATGGCATATATATACGCCATAGGGTGCCAGGCAAGATTCAAATGGCCCGCGACTACACGGGGTTCACATTAGCTTCCTCAGGGCTCTTGTAAACAGACACCACCATTTAAAAAAAAAAAAATCATGGGCAATATTCTCAGGTGTGAGAGGCACAGTACTGTTAGAGCAACAAAGGCTGGCACACGCAGCATGAGCAAACAGCATTGCTGTTCAGCTTGTGACCACAGCATCGCCAGAAAATGTCAAAATATATAACCGATATTATTTAGAGATGACATTATTACAGATGACCCCTGACCGTGATAAAATAGCAGGTTTTGATAATAGCAGGATTGTTGTAATAATTAGCGCTGTGGGAGGAGTGATGCTGAGGGACCGAGGGAGACAGCATCGTTTACTGACTGCGTGCTCACCTGTTATTGTCTGCATTCACCATACCAGTTCAGTGGTTCTCTATGGTGAACACAAATGTAGATACTTATATATAATGTGTGTATTAGTGTAATAACAGCAAAAGGATTATGTTGGGAGGAGCCATTTGGGTGACGGAGGTGGCGTCGTCTGCATGACTTGTCCAGCTGTGTAGAGGGTGGCCACTATGCTCTTTGGGCACCCTACAAGCTTAGGTGTACAGTTACAGTGCAGACAACACGTAGATACTTATATATAATATGTGTATGTAGTGTAATAACACTGCAAACAGTATTGTTGGGGAAGAAATTTAGTACATGTGACTTTGAATGAGTGAGGGAGGCAGCCGCCAGCTGACAGTGTAGCGACGACTCTTAGTGCCTGAACTGACTATCAGCTTAGTTGTACAGTTGTGTTGAACAAAACGTGTAGATACTTATATATAACGTCTGTATATTGTGAATAAAACTTAAAACAGGATGGTGGGAGGAGAAAGTGGGTGGGTGAGGCGTTGTTCAGGGAGAGGCAACGAGTGGCTGGCTGGTGTGTGGCAGCCACTCCTTGTTGCTTTTCGACTCTCAATACCAACTTAGTGGTTCGTTATGGAGAAACAAGACATGCAGATACTTAAAAATAACCTCTGTATAGAGTGTACAGTAATAACAAAACTATTTGTTTGTTGTTTTATGAACATAGTAATTGAATCACTAATATGCACACCATACTTTTGAGTATAGCGATGAGTCACCCCATTTATTATATAAATATATCACAATACACACTATTGAATAATATTACTGCAAAAAAAATGAAGAAAAAATCAAAGACATTGAAATAATTAGATAATAATATCTTTGTGGCAACTCCCACCTGTCAGCTCGAGTGACGCTGACCGGCTCTGACGACCGCTCTGTCAACGCCCACAATTTGCCAGACTTCCTCGGTCTATTGCGGCCAAAATATGTCACTTGCAATATTTTTTTCCCATGCTCAGGGAACACAAATTAACATTTTTAGAAGACGAAATGATTTTTTTAGAATTTTGTTCTTGTGCACAGGGGTGTAAATCTCCTCAGGACCCCTTAGCAGCTTAAGGGTTAAAAGAGAGAGAGGGATCAGAAAAGAAAAGGGGGGGGGGGGGGAGAGAGAGTAGTCAGCAACATTAATTGCATTCTTCATCATTATATTTCCAGATACCCAGCCTCAGGAGAGACGGGGTCAGGGAGGTTCAAACCAGATCTTTGCTGCCCTTAATCTACCTAGTGTGTCCTATCTTTACAGTTGTGTGGTCGGCTATCTTTACAGTTGTGTGGTCGGCTATCTTTACAGTTGTGTGGTCGGCTATCTTTACAGTTGTGTGGTCGGCTATCTTTACAGTTGTGTGGTCGGCTATCTTTACAGTTGTGTGGTCGGCTATCTTTACAGTTGTGTGGTCGGCTATCTTTACAGTTGTGTGGTCGGCTATCTTTACAGTTGTGTGGTCGGCTATCTTTACAGTTGTGTGGTCGGCTATCTTTACAGTTGTGTGGTCGGCTATCTTTACAGTTGTGTGGTCGGCTATCTTTACAGTTGTGTGGTCGGCTATCTATCCACTACACAAATGCTGTTCCAAGCTTGCAGTCTTCAATAGTCAGTCTGAGTTTGTCACCTGCACCCATGACCCTCTCTCCTTTAATATGCATACTGCTCGGACAAGTTTCCTCCCTTATACATCAATTTGGCTACAGTAATATGAACACTGTAATGTCTTCCTTACCAGGTTGTTGACTCGAGACACAACCGAGGGGAAGCTTCAGAGTAATGAAGCACTACTTTGAGTGCTTCTTCCCTTCATTGTATGCCCTCCCTTTATGTCCAGACCTGCCAGGGAACATAGGGTGACCAAGACCACAGTGAGGGCTGCTGCTTTTCCCGATCCTGTTTCCATGTATTCTACCACCATCAAGTGGTGGTATGAGGCGGAACCACAAGGTCTTTACAGCCGTTAACAGAGTGATACAGTAAAAGGTTTTCCCAATCGAATCAAAGATTTACTTGTAAAAAGCATCACAAATTTTGTTTTCTGCTTCACATTATACCGAGCGGATTTTCTGCTAGCAGATAGAGGAATTTTCCATCTTCCTCTCCAACTAAAATGACAGGACAAGGAGAAGCAAAGGTCCATGATGAAGCAGTTTAGAGCCTGCATTGGGTTATGGATCACTTGGATACACGTCAAGGTATGTATAAGGTAAGTTGAGTTATGACATGTTGCCGTAGATAAGGTAACCGCAAGGTATGCCTCCACAATACCCACAGGGACCACTCATGCACAAAAATTGCTGTCCTCTCAATACTCCATTTTTATGTAACATAAATCTTGGTTCTGCAACAAACTAAATGTTTCCATAGTATCCTTAAAATACCCTACATGCTGAGAAGCTATGCCGTGCAGCAGGTTACCAATATTTGCATAGACTGGGAGTAGCTTGTGTAGTAATACAGTATAAACAATAAACCATAAGATGTCAGCCTATTGAAGATGCCAACAAATACCTCATCAAGCCAGCAGTAAACCTTAACACGCCTGGAGCAGTGCGAGGGTTAACACGCCTGCAGCAGTGCGAGGGTTAACACGCCTGCAGCAGTGCGAGGGTTAACACGCCTGCAGCAGTGTGAGGGTTAACACACCTGCAGCAGTAATTACCTAAGTGTAATTACCTAAGTGTAGTTACAGGATGAGAGCTACGCTCGTGGTGTCCCGTCTTCCCAGCACTCTTTGTCATATAACGCTTTGAAACTACTGACGGTCTTGGCCTCCACCACCTTCTCACTTAACTTGTTCCAACCGTCTACCACTCTATTTGCGAAGGTGAATTTTCTTATATTTCTTCGGCATCTGTGTTTAGCTAGTTTAAATCTATGGCCTCTTGTTCTTGAAGTTCCAGGTCTCAGGAAGTCTTCCCTGTCGATTTTATCAATTCCTGTTACTATTTTGTACTAAGTGATCATATCACCTCTTTTTCTTCTGTCTTCTAGTTTTGGCATATTTAATGCTTCTAACCTCTCCTCGTAGCTCTTGCCCTTCAGTTCTGGGAGCCACTTAGTAGCATGTCTTTGCACCTTTTCCAGTTTGTTGATGTGCTTCTTAAGATATGGGCACCACACAACAGCTGCATATTCTAGCTTTGGCCTAACAAAAGTCATGAACAATTTCTTTAGTATATCGCCATCCATGTATTTAAATGCAATTCTGAAGTTAGAAAGCATTGCATAGGCTCCTTGCACAATATTCTTAATGTGGTCCTCAGGTGATAGTTTTCTATCTAGAACCACTCCTAGATCTCTTTCTTTATCAGAATTCTTTAAAGATTTCTCACATAATATATAGGTTGTGTGGGGTCTATGTTCTCCTATTCCACATTCCATAACATGACATTTATTAACATTAAATTCCATTTGCCAAGTGGTGCTCCATATACTTATTTTGTCCAGGTCTTCTTGAAGGGCATGACAATCATCTAAATTTCTTATCCTTCCTATTATCTTAGCATCATCAGCAAACATGTTCATATAATTCTGTATACCAACTGGTAGATCATTTATGTACACAATAAACATCACTGGTGCAAGAACTGAACCCTGTGGTACTCCACTTGTGACATTTCTCCATTCCGATACATTGCCTCTGATTACTGCCCTCATTTTTCTATCAGTCAGAAAATTTTTCATCCATGATAGAAGCTTACCTGTCACCCCTCCAATATTTTCCAGTTTCCAGAACAACCTCTTATGTGGAACTCTGTCGAAAGCCTTTTTTAGGTCCAGATAGATGCAGTCAACC